GTATTTAATTTGAAGTATTGTCACATTAGTATGTTTTTTAGATTAATCAGTTAATCAAACATCTATTTGATAAAATTATGTTTTCTTCCATTTTTAAAATGTAGTTATTGAATRTATAATATACTTGATAATTAATGTTATTTTGAATGTTGATGATAAAAACAGGGATGACTTTAACCTTGGTTACATTGCTTCTTTTTATAAAACCTGTTTGGTTTATCAGGACCACATTTGTCCAAAGATAATTCTAATATTTTTCAGTCTGTCTTTCATTGAATCTCCTGAATCCCCCTTTTTTTTAGTTATTTTTGCTTCTCTGCGACCTTTTATCAGGTAATTTAATTAGTTTGTAAGATGATCCACCAGGTGCTTTTTCCATCTTTTTATAGTGAGCATTAAAACATTTAAAGAGTCTGTGTGGAGTTCATCGACATCACTTAGTTGATGTTTCCTCCACCAACAGACTCTAAAAATGTTAGCTAATTTTTACAAACACTCATGAAGATATATTATATCTCTTGCTTTATTTTCCAAAATTCTTTGAAATGCCTCCTTCTTTTTTTTCTACGCACCAAACACCAGGCCGGTTCTCAGAGAAAGTTTCGATACTTTCAACAAATCTGTATTATATCATAATATTCCACACAGGCTGTTCGCTTGGCGTAAGTAAGCAAAGTAACTGGAGCAAAGTAACATAAATATTTATATTTTAATAACCTTGCTCGGGTCAAAACGGTCCCAAATGCCAAGACGTCTTAAGTTCCTGGGCCAGATTCTAATCTAGTCCATCAGTTTTCTGGGGATCTCACATTCATGGAAGCCTTATTTAAACTGACTCCTGTATATACAGAGTAAACATCATGAAATCCCTGAGTGTTTGCTAACAGGACAAAGGGGGGGCCTTGCATGACTCAAAGTGGATCTCCGAGTATAAACAGTGTTAGGTGGGCCCGAACAGACACTGTCTCGCAGAACTATCCCGACACAGAGCAGTCCTTCTAAATCACAACACAATTAGGTTCTGTCAGAGGAAGTGACGTTCACAAGTTGTTTTCACAAACGGCAAAGTTTAACAAACCAAACTTTGGCTTAATGTGATCTYGGTTGGGATAACAGGATCTGCGCTGACGCCTCACCGTTCACATCACCCTGGACAATTAACATTACATCACTTTCAGGTCAGAGATTGTGCATTTTTCTGCACAAGGTTTGCACAGGACTGTATTTAGATCCCAAGGTTTTACAGCAGATACGAACACATTCGAAAATAAGGCTTCGTTTATTTTACTTTTCCCTCCAGGTTAAGCCTGCTTTCCCTCATTATGATTCTAAAACGAAGCATGTGTTAATGTTCGTCTAAWTCTGCAATTATGCACGTGGCCAACAGTATAGTGAGTAACATTATACACCGAGTGGTCCAGGTGTTAACTAGTCTGCTTTGACTCYGGCCTGTCAGAAGCCTGTTCAAAGTGAACCACATGAGAGGACAGGCCAAACATTTCTGCCTCTCACTTAAAAGCAGGAGCCTGTTTCACATGAGTGGAACTTAAAACAAAAATATAATTCAATCTAAATGCTTCCAACGAACGCGTCTCCCGTGTTTCCAGCCTGCACTTTCATGAAACGTCAGTGCAGATGTCGGACACAGGCCTCGGGACAAACTCGAGATAAAAAGCAGAGGATTGTAGCAGCGGCCTCCCTATCSAGTGCTTATCTGTGGATCAGCTGACTCGAAGCCATGTGTGGCTCGCGTTTAGCCCTTCTGGGCCAAAGCTGAGGTCTGGAGCTCGAGCCCACCAGCCGCCGCCTCACACAGTGACAAAGACACCACTACAAAGGCTCGCTCCAGCTGCTTCCACATCTGCGGCGGGAGAATGTAGCAGTTTAGTTCATGTGTGCAAGAGTGAGCGAGTGCACCAAAAAGCAYCAACTGACTGTAGAAAACTTTTGCGAAAGGATGCTGCAAGATGCTGACAGTTTGTATTTATGACACRAAGGCTTATCTGCTTCTCTCTGTGCTCCCGTGCAAATATAAATCACCTCTTTTTGTCTCTTTGTTTCTTTTTCTTCCTCTATGTGCTGCAGATCCGTCTGCGGAGGCTGTGTCTGGTCACATAACATTGAGAAAGATGGAGACTTAACACAGTTTAGTATTTGCAGGTGTTTATTATCTGTGTAAACCTTTTTTTTAAAAACAAAAATAACGTAGACACACTTTACATATTAAAATAAGACTCTCATAAGGAAATATGAACATCTCTACATAAAATATAAACACATTCAGAGGCAAATAACAGAACTGTTGGGTTCAGATGACTAAATTTCTAGGGGAAAAAACATCTTGAAATAAATTGGTCAAAACATTATAAAAGTACAAAATAAAGCTGCACCTTGTACCATAGACCAAACATTATTGTTTTGTAGCACAATATCTGTATTCAATGAATACATTCCGAGAAATATTTAGACATTATTTTAGCATCCAAATAACCTAAATCTAACAAAACTGGGATTTTTCAGTAAAAACARAGCTCAAGGTAAAGTATTTTATCATATAAATTAGGTGTATGCTGAATATCAAGCTTAAATCTCTTTATACTTTTATGTACATTATCTAAAAATATATATATGGTATTAAATCTGTACAAAAATGTAAAATATATAATATATATTCCATACAAAAGAAAAGTAGCAGCAAATGAAGATCAGACAGAGAAAGTATAAAAGGTATGTTAAAAATACACCTTGTAAAAAAACAGAATACAACTTTTTAACTGTAAGGGTAAAACAAGGTGTGGACACGGAAAGTTTGTAATAATCATCAGCTTTCGCTGAAAAATGAGCTTAAGGATCATCATGACTGTTATCCTCTGCAGGTGAACTGAAACACACACAAAAATACAAAACAACAAACGCACATTCTCAACACGAGCCCTTTGATACAACAAGGGAGGAAAAATATTCTCTCAGCCGTTCAGCTTCGAGGCTGAACAGACATCAGTAGCTTTAAACGTTTATACACAAACACACAGAGTAATTCAAGCAGGAACACACAATCACATTTTAAAATGTTTTTTTTTTTTATCATGGTCTGATAAAAAAGTTCGTAAAATACAATAAATTTTCAAAGTTGGAAACATTTCATTGGTATTAATGAGATTTAACAGGAATTTACCAGAATAAACCTTGAATTTAATCTGTAAAGGGTTGGCTCTTAACAGTAATTTTAAACATAGTTGGGGGAAATTATATTTTAGCACAATCTTGACTGCTGTACCTGCAATAAGAGYTATAGAAATGTTCACAATCTGTTTGTTCTCTAAAAGTTTTGTGATCCATAATGACGCAGTGGTGTCATCGTTATGTGTTAAATTAGGCTAATAAATGAGTAACTTTCATCAAAATGTGTGTTGATCTCATTATTTGACTACGACAAAGTTTGTTTAAATTGTCCTAAATTTTCAAGTGATTCTTTTTTTTTATAAATTCCTTAATGACCATGAAAACTTTCTAATTCAAAGTGTTCAAAAACTCCCCCTACTTCAAAACTTTCCATTCAGTTTTAGAGCATTTCAGCGAAAAATGGCAACAAAAGCCCAAAAATATGCAGGCAAATACTCTGTTTTGTTTTCTTGATTTTGTGTTTCGCTAACCACTAAACACAAATGTCATCAATACACTCCCAGAATTAATCAGGTTCACATAAGTCTTGTAGCTTTTGAGGAATTGCTGGTAAAATAAAAATAACAATAACAAAAAAAAGTGTTCAGCAGTGCGGCTCTCCCGTATGCATCACAGAAAAATCTTTCTTTGAATAAAAGTGAAAACTGCAGATGTTCTTAAATATTACAAAAATCCTAAAAGGCTGATATTTACCCAGAAGAGTCGTGGTGTCCATGTGATAAGTCACACAAAAAAAGTCATCAACATCCTTTCTTCTTCTTGCCTTTTTTTTAACAGTCAACAGGACGGGTGGTTCTGTGATTTAAAAAGTTGCTGTTATCTCCGGCAGGCGTACGCATTAATGTTTTTGATGACATAAAAGCCGATGGTCATCGGGGGCATGGCTATCGTCCGACCAGCCCTCAAAGTTTTAGGCTTCAGCTCCGGGAATGTCTCGCTGTCCGGCATGAGCAACTTCTCGCCGTTCAGCTCGACGTGTCTGCGAAGCAAAGACAAGATATCAAAAGATTAGGATTGTTATATTATTTCACAAGACTCAGTACAATTCCAACAGAGAGAAATACGAATGTGGGAGGGATTTCCTCAATGTTCTGCTGCTGTTTTGTGATATGCAATGCTACAATGTGAGTATGTAAGTGAGGCATATGAGGATGGAAAAATCATAATAATTATGTCAGTTGTCCACTTGAGGGCGCTGCTACGACAATCTTGTAAATAAAACATCTGAACTAAACAGTGGTGAAAACAACTAAAACCTGCCTTGAATAAACTTCAACTTTATTTCAAATAAAAGATATTTGATGTTATCATATATTGCTGCTTTTTGAAAGAAGAAAATGATTAGGCTGATAATAGAATTTTAAAAATATATCTACTTTTTTATCAATAAATGCATATGCCAATAATCATATACAGTGTTTTAAACATTCAAAAGCAAAAAGGCAAATGTGACATTGAATATGATGTGAAACATTCCAGTTTGAATTTTGTTTTAAAGAGTGGTTGGAAACTTTCATTTAAAAATAGTTTTAAACTTAAATCTACTAAACATATAAGCTATTTTTTATGTTTTTAAAAAATAATAAATTTTTTCCCAGAAAAATCAACATTTGTAGTCTTGTTGGTGCTACTAATTCCATTTACTCTAACTTATTCTTTGTACCTTTAGTTTTAAATCCAGGGAAGAAATTAGTAAAGTTTTTGTATCACATTGTGATTAATGTATTAAGTTTTTAGAAATGGAAAACCTAACTTTTATATATGAGCAGTGGACACGTGTAAAATCTAAATACTGTAATATAAATTCCAGAAGTTTAACAGCAACACACTTATTTTTCAGTATGCTTCTCTCTTTATCCATATAAGGTACATGCATGTCAATCATCAATTACTTTCATCTGCAACATTACTTGAAATATGTCTTTGCTGCAAACAAAGCTAAATAAAAAGAAAACAAACCTTTTTCACGTGTACCGCTTTTACTGACTTTGTAAAGTTTATGACATTAGGAGAATAAAATCCAGTTGTCTGAAGGATTTTTACAAGAACCAAATTCATTCACATAAAATTATGGTAATAAGTAAGTTGTTAGTCTAAAAATGCATTACGCGGTCGTGTAAACATTTTAAAAAAATCTCACWAAAGTTTTTTAGACATCTGGTGTTGTTAAATCAATCAGTGAAGTCTCATGAGCAGCCTGTGGTAAAGGCGGCCACTTAAAGACAGATAATGGGACATCGTTAGCTCTCTCGCCTTTTAATTGCCTTGCAATCCTGTTCCAACACCTAAAACATCCTTCATCATTATGCTGTTATTGAGGGTTTATGCCTAAGCCTCTATTAAGGCTGCATGCAGGTATCGTATAACAAAAACAGACACACAAACCCACAGAGGTGAGTCATTAGGTTGTTATTACAGGATGTCAGGCTTAAGTCAAAGTCAGAATAACAGGCCAGGTGCTTCAAGCAGAGAGAACCAGACTCAAACCATAAAGCTTTTATTTTAAGGAAATGGAGATTAAATGACCATAAAGTTTAAAAACATTATAGATAAAAAAGATGAAAAAAGCACTAAAAAGGTGAAATGGAGGGAATAGCAATTCAAATGTGCAATATAGATAATTTGTTCAATGAATTAAGAGTCACATAGTTCAGTTGAACAACAAAATTATCCTATAAATAATCTGAATGAGACCAAACTGAATTTTGTGAGGTACTCTGTGTTAAAAAATATTTCAGGTTTCTATAAAGCCCCACAATAAACACAACTAATAAATAKCTAGCCTTCACAGATTAGGATAGACATAGAAACAAACAAACAAAAAACTTCTTTAGTACCGAGTCTGGTTTTAGAAGTGAGTTTTACTGGTTTGGATGTATAAAGGCAGCGAGCAGCGTGAGCTCAAAGTGTGTATTTGCATGTTTTGTGGTGCGGCATTCACACAACATGCCGGCTCAGCATAAATGGCTCACTGTGGTCTTTAAAGTAAATTAATTTGATTCCACGCAGCCCTCTAAAAGGCCTGTGTTTAACACTCTATAAAGGTGGGCCCAATAAAGCTGTTTATGAAATTCTTCTTCCCATCCCAGTCTGTTTCAGTTCACTGCACACAATAATTACTTTTGATAATTATAATGTAAAACTCATCATTAGTGCTTAGTAATTTGGTGTTTGAGGTTTTCAAATAAATGTAAAAAAATAGGGCAGAGAAAAAAAACACCCCAACCTGGCTTTGAGTCCATCCTTGCCGTGGGGTTGCAGCAGGTACTGGTGGACAGTCTTGTTCCGTAACGTTCCCGCCAACTTGATTTTTTTTCTCGACCGATGCAGGTTGATTATGTAGATTGTTATGGACCCCCTCACATAGTTATGGCTAATGTCACAAAGAAAAGAAAAAAAAAACATTACTTTAACATTCAAAGATCTATCAGGGAACGAGCCAAAAAAGATCCTCTCCACATCTGTTCCTGGGGATTTATTATATATTAGAATGTCACGATGAATAAAATACTTTATAATTAAAGATGAGCACAAAGACGAGGATGTCTTTGATCGTTTTAGCACACGTAGCGATAGGATAAAACCACAGCTCATTTATCTAGTCTGGATCAAAAGGCTTTCAGAATGCTCAGAATGTAAATTAAAGCACACTAAGGGTAGGAGATCCACTAAGCTGCGAGTTGAATTTTATGAGGTCCTATAACTTATATGCATTTAGCATGAAGCACATTTTATTTGCGACGTGTTTAATGTTTAAAAAACTAAAAAAAGCACAGTATTAAAATTTTTTAACCTGCTTTTGTCTGGTCTAGGGTCAGATGAAGGGGTTTAACAGAAAGGGCAACAAATCTTGAGTTACTCACTCAACAGTGCTTAAGTCCTTCTCCAAAGAGCAAAGCACTTGGGACACAACTTGATAGGAATATTAGCTGAAGGTAAATAACTAAGTAAGACAGATAAGACAAACATGATAAAATTTAATATGAGCCAAGATAYGAGGGGAAAGACAACACAGCTGTAGTGAAAACCACATGTCAGCCACGGTGTTCAGGGTCAAGGCTAAATAGTCTGGTAGATCACCCCACTCCCCCACTCCAACCCAGTTATGACCCCTGAAAATCTCATATCCTAACAGCAGACTTGTTTCTTTTTTGGTTTAATGTTTATCTTTCTTTGGGCGCAGGGTGAGATATTTATTCCATTATGCTGCAAGGCAGCAACGATTCAATATATTTTCCAGGAGACAGAAAATAATGTACTGTTGTTGGGATTGGAAAGCGTCTGGCTCTGGGCTAAGCGCTTTGTTTTTGAGAAATCTGGATCGAGGTTGCGAGTCATCCATCCAATGGTTAGATGGAGGAATCGATAATGACCTCTCGGGCCTTTCAAATGAAGAGGTTCTCAGAGACCCAAACCAGAAACATAAACTTATTCTCATGTTTGATGTTAGAGCACCAGCAGAAAGTCTGAAAATAAAAAAAATAAAAACTACTGCAAACCACTAAAAGGGGGTAAAAGTGCAGTGAAAGTCAAACATCTAAATAGTAGTGAGCTTTCAAACCATCAACAGCCATGGACATATTTACAGAACTATCAAACCACCAAGACTATAAAGTTTTGTCCACTTATGGGTTGTGTATATAAGTAAAGTAATATTGGCAGCTGAACTGAGTCTGAAGTTTAGCTCCAGCTTGTGGCATCTTTTCCCTCTCAGATTTATCAGGTGAGTGAACTCGCTGAAAACTTCCACGAGTGAAAACTCGCTGAAAACCGTCAAATATCTTCACCACGTTATCGTTCATCCATCTGTGCATTGCTCTATTTTTTTTTCCAAGAGATGCTCCACCTGCAAACGAGCCCCGTCTAAAGATAAGGCCGTAAGTCTAGCCCGGTGCTGACAGCCGCTGGTCTGGGTTAAATGATAACCTTGAACAGACCATGGTGGCACTCATCTCCTCCGGGCACAGACTGCCTTATTGTCGCTCCCCCCCTCAAATATCCCCCTCCAGCCAATCCGAGACGGGATAAAGGCCTCGCACGCCTTTCAGCGGCTCTTTGACGACAGGGAGACAGAACCCACACACCTGATAAGTGATACCCGTTAAGTTTTATAGGCTCTGAGCTGTGAATGAGCGGGTGTCCACGAGCTGCTTATTTATGGGAAGCCAAAAGGGATGACGAGGGATTTTGTTCTTTCCCACCAGACAATGAGCCTCGGGTATTTTCACAAAGACTCCAAAAGCTCTGCTTTGTATCCAGACCTTCAAGGACATCCCAAAAGCTTTGCAGCTTTTTCCTGAAATGTCCCAGTTTTCAAACAAAATCTCATAAACTTGACGACGGTACGTACTTGTCGTAGCTGGTACAGTGTGCGTAGATGCGTAGCTTGTCCCGTATGACTCGCCCTGGTTGTGGCTTCCTCTGCAGCCCAGCCACACGGACAGCTAAGACCCTGGGACCAACCAGACGCTTGAAGACCAGGGAGAACCAGTAATCCTGTAGCAGAATCAAAGAAAAAATAAAACACAAAATGAGCCTGTGTTTCAAACAGCATGGTAAGGTTTTCTCATCAGACGAGATTAAAATATGTAAAGATACAAACAAAATAAAGGGGTGTACACACTGACTAAAAAGCCTACTTCTATAATGAAACWATAAAGCAGAATTTTAACAAACATCTGCTTTTATTGCAAATGTAAAACTCATGTTTTTGTTATTTTATATTAACACTAAAATGTTTTTTTGAAAATAACTGCTTTAGACAAAGACGTTTTAATAAAAGTTGTGCACCTCCAGGATTAAAAGAAAAGCAATATTAGAAAACTAACAAAGCTCGTCTTTGGGGGTAAAAACCAGAAGGTCAAGACCAAATATACACGTGGCGTTCAAATAGATCTCCACAGAACCTAACCCCGACCTGTTTAAAATCGACAAGTCCTAAAAAGGAAGATTTTTTTCTTTTGTTTTCACCAAATATTATGCTACAGCAGAAATTGTTGTTTTCTGTTATCATTGTTAAATGGTTGACCATACCGAGCTACACTACAGACTACACAGACTCAACACCTCTCTCCAAGAGACCCAGAACAACATGTGCTCCTCAGGAAGTTCCCATGCAATCCTGCATATGGCAACATTTAAGAGCTTCTTTTTTTTTTCCACACAGACTTTAACTTAATTTGCTGCCAAGGCATTGAAGAAGCACAGCACAGTATAGAGCGCCATACTGCTGGGTAAAGCCAGGGGGATGGATGGATGAATATATGGTCAAAACTATGATCCGTTATAGTAAGCAGAATAAGCAAAATAGGTCCACAATGGTTTTAAAATACTAAATTTCTAAGCACAACCATTCACAAAAGGCCAATAGATTTATTTTAATTTACAGCGGMGCTAAATTAAGGAAAAGACACAAATAGGCTTGACATGCTGCTAAATCTTTTTGAGAAATCGTCTCCACAGTTCCAAATTTCCGGTCTGACTTTTTGCCTGTTTTTTTTGTTTTATTGCCTGCTGTCTCACTGTCTGCCCCAGAACCTTCTTTCCAAGATAGACAAAATGAGAAACATCAACTGCAGAAACAGACATTCGTTAAAGATCCAAACAAAATACTATAAATAAAACTGAAAAGACAGGTGGGCACAACTAAAGCCGTGATAAAACAGGACAGAAAAAAAAACATACAGCTGCTCAGATTCATAAAATATAACATAAGATATTAACAATATGTTAAAAAAAAGTGAAGTTATTCGTTTTGTTACTGATCAAACAATAAGGTTCCAGTGTTTAATTCTAAATATGTGAGGCATTTAAGGGTTAATAGTTATTTTTTGGTTTGTAAACTTAAAAAGAAGTAAGGTGTCATGATTTATCCAAGAGCAAATCTACTAAAAATTGGAAACGCACACAAAAAAAAGACATATTGGAGAATATAAAAATATTTTGACACCAACTATTAGGGCTGGGCAATATGGCTGAAAATGCATCATAATATATATGGGATATTGATAATCACTGATTAGTTTTTTTACCTATTGTGAGATTGATTTGATTTATTTATTTAACAGGAAAAGATTATTAAAAATCAAGCCTGACTCAGCATAATTGCTGTTTTACAGCAGGTTCCTGTTCTGCAGCACATAAAACACTCAGAATTACAGCATCACAAACTCTAAAAGTGAAATGTTGGATTTACTTAACCATGTTATGTGACCTGGTTCCACTTAACTGAGTTGAGTAAATTC